TGATAAGATTTCACGTTGCGCTCGGTCATTCGGTCAGTGGCTACAAGCTTTGTCAAAGAAGGGAGATTTCACCAAATGTCTTGTAGCCAGCGAGGGATTAAGGGAGGGAATTCCAGAGCTTAGGATCCAGGCAGCAGGAGGCATGGTAACAAGGGGCGGTGCAATTAAAAACAGGGATGCTCAAGAGGCCAGAATTGGGGATCCCAGAAAGTTGTGAGAGTGGAGATGGTATCAGGTAGGAGGGGATGGGATGGAGTGTGTGGTTGTAATTAGTACTTCCCCAATCTTTGTAAACCAAACAGGTGTCATCAGTGTTCCCTTTAAGTGAATTAATGGAATCATTACATGACCCCAACTCCCACCACCATAGTTTCCATCTTTTCAAATGATTTGCACATGGACTACAGCAGTTCAAGAAGGCAGCATCTTCTCAAGCAGCTAGGGACAGGCAACAAATACTGGACCAGCCAGTGATGTCCACATCTTATGAAGTAGGAATGAATAAAGCCCCTCCCCCATCAGCCCCCACACTGAGATCAGCTCCTACTGTAAAAACTGCTGACACAACACACAATCCTCCTGCTCCTGGCCTTGAATCTACAATAACTTTAAAATTTAGAAACTGCATCAAATAACTTCAGGCTCCTTTCGTGGCCACTTTGTTTGTATAAAATGTCCCCTCACCCTGAACAAACTCTCACACTAACTGTGTGAACAAAGAGTGATTGAGATCTTTGAAATGAATTGATTGTAATAACTGGGTGTTCAGGAAGGGTGGGGGGGGAGGTGTTCCCTGGGAGGGTTGTGTAGAGTGTAGGCAGGGAGACACTGGGCCAGGCTGAACTCCTATCCTCCTTCAGTCAGAAGTCTCAGACTTTAGAAGTGACCTTGATGATGGTTTGTTGTTTGAAATGAAACAGTTTTTCCTTTTAGTATCAAACTGGGCTATTGTGTCAAGGATCAGTGAATCAGACCAGTGCAGGATCACATACCTTGTGAGTATAAGTGTGCACCAGTCAGAAACACTTGCTGATTTATTTCCAGGACTTGACAGATCATGTATGTGTTTGATCTTCTGTCAGCTCGGAACAAGAACCGGGAGAATTCTTCCACTATCGTGTCTGGGTCTGCCCTGCTTGCTTGTTTATCTCATCGGGTTTGCACTTTGTCTCGGGCAGGTAGGGCGAGATGGGTGGGGTGTAGCATTGAGGGCGGAACTGTCTTGGGAGATGAAACCAGTCTTGAGTTCTGCTGCTGGCTGGTATGTAGAGCAAACTTGTCCATAATTAGTATGTAATTTAAGGCAGTGTTAGACTGAGTGGACTAAAATCTCACATCAGAAATTCCATTTTTTTGCTCTGTAGCCCCATTTTCTGAATAGCTGAAGGTTGCTGGTGGATTTCCAGATCTGGGGAAAGGGGTTGGGAATTGGGTTTAAGGAGATTCAGGATGGACACAACAAAATTGGGATTAGGTGGAGTACATTGAGAACAACTGGAGAAATTTCATATAATCCCTACAGGTTGGAAACAGGCCATTCAGCCCAAAAAGTCCACAGCGACTCTCCAAAGAGCACTCCACCCAGACTTATCCCTCTAAACTATCTGTGTAACTCTGCATTTCCATGGCTAATCCTCCTAACCTACACATCCTTGAACACTATGGTGCAATTTAGCATGGCCAATCCACCTAACCTGCACATCTTTGGACTGTGGGAGGAAACTGGCGCACCCAGGGGAAACCCACACAGACACAGGGAGAATGTGCAAACTCCACACAGACAGTTGCCTGAGGGTGAAATTGAACCCAGGTCCCTGGTGCTGTGAGGCTAACCATTGAGCTACTGTGCTGCCTATGGAGATAGTGGGTTCTATGCACAACTTCACCTTTGCAGGGGCTGAGAGGACGAACACTAATATTAATTCACTTGCCCAATATTTTCTGGTGCTAACTCTTTATATTCACAATGTACAATAATTGACTGAGGAACTGAAGGGAAAAGTTTTACCCCAGTGAGAGTCTGTGTGTGTGTGGGACACCATACCCCAGTGAGAGTCAGTGTGTGTGTGTGGGACACTGTACCCCAGTGAGAGTGTGTGTGTGTGTGTGTGTGTGTGTGTGTGTGTGGGACCCTGTACCCCAGTGAGAGTCAGTGTGTGGGAGCCCGTACCCCAGTAAGAGTCAGTGTGTGTGTGGGACTGTACCCCAGTGAGAGTCAGTGTGT